TAGAATTTTTTCATGAGTTCTATATGGAAGTCGACTTGATGAGTCGGCTTCTAAAACTGTTCACAATTGTCTCCAACCTGCTTATATATCAAATTAAACCACCATTAAGGATCTAACACGAAATAATTCACTAGGGTGGTCCAATTATTCTTCATTAGGGTGGTCCAAAAATCAAAATAGGTATGTAAAAACCATTAATTTTTACCAAACGCATGTATCTGAAAATATCATCATGTTGTGTTTTGGAATTTTTAAGAATCCAAACTTCAAAACATTTGATGATATTACTTTTTAGTACCGGAGACCACGTAAAATAGAAGCATAGACAGACATAAATCGTAGAATAATTCCGAAAATTGTACAGGACAACCGTTAGTGCTGTTTACTTTACAGTACAATCTGACGAAAGTGCAATGACTTTTAAACATATCCACCTAATACGGGACAACCCTTCATATGTGTTTCTTTTAAATTCCTACCCTATAGAGGTGCCAAAAAAGTACCCGCATAAAGCATATTGTTTATCTGGCTTCCTTTTGGGTATTAATTAGAAAACACACACTAGGGGCTGTTCATAAACTACGTAGACAGTTTAGGAGGGGGGGGGTAACAATTATTCGCGGCCCATACAAATTTCAAAACATTTGTATGGACAATTGTCTACGCAGGGGGAGGGGGGGGGGTCAAGAATCCCAAAAAACTGTCTACGTAGTTTATGAACAGGCCCCTAACAGTGTTCTCCTACAGGCAAGCAACGGTCTCAAGTACTTATTTCTACGTAAACTTTTCTACCTTGGCTTTTTCTACCTATGCTTTAGTATAAAAAGGATGCGATCTGAGGATGTATGATCAATCAGTAGTGCGTTTGAAGAAGACAACAAGCAGAGAACTGATAGAGAATAGTACGACAGTTTGTTAAAAATGGTTGACATTTGGCTAGTTGGAGAATATCTGCCGTCGTTCGGCCATTCTGTTAACTTGCCGCTAGCCTAAGGCTAAAAATCTCTTTAATAAAGCTTAAAAAAAAGTGTTAACTTGCCGACGTATAGTGAAGTTTTTCGTAAATATTTGTTTCATTCGCGTGCTGAAAAAAAAAAGTTGTAAGCTTAGTGCCTTCCTAACAATAAAGGAATTAAAGGATGCTTGGAAGAAAAAAAACTTAACACATTTGGTAAATGACATAAGCATAAAGAAAAAAACTGTTGCTATTTTTAAATACCTGGAAAGCCTTATTAAAATGCAAACTTAGAACGGCTAAGAAAGACGTCGAAAAAAGGAACACATTTCATGGATCATTGCGGAGTTTGTTTGATATCGGGAAGAATTTTAAGGCAAAAACCCGTGAAGAAAAGCAGGCGATGCAATATTTGCAAAAACAGCGGAAACAAGCTCATCTTGAAGAAAAAACTGAGGTTCTACCGACCAATGAAACCATTTCGTGTAGCGATTTTGAGGAAGAAGGGTCAAGCCAAAGACCGGATCAAATTTGTAGTGCAACCTCAATTGAAATATCATCACAAAACGACAACCAGGCTGGGTCAGTGTACTCGCCTAGTACATCCGAAAGAGCTTCTCCAAAAACAGGTACGTTGTGATTTTCTGCTAATGTTTTTTTTTCTTTTAGATTATACACCTATTACCATCCATATTAATATATTTTGAACGTTCTAGGTTCTCCAAAACCAGCTTTGACACGTAATCGCAACTGATACGAGTTGTTACAGTTGAGGTAGCTGCTGCTTTGGACCGCTGTAAATTGAGTGATCGAAATGCTGTGTTTCTAATATCATCGATCGCTAAAGCTTTAGGGCACGATGTTTCATCATTATTGTTGAACAAGGAATCTGTCAGAATCGCCAGAGCAGGAATTCGCTTACAAATGCAACATGATTTAAAAGCGTCGTTTAAACCAGATATAAATTTAACAGTACATTGGGATTCTAAGCTGCTACCTAACATATTACCATCCAAAGCTCTAATAAAAACCGAGCCCTTGGCCATAGTTGTATCAGGTGAAGGCTTTAGCAAATTATTGGCTGTTCCACCCATCGAAAACTCTACGGGGGCACAACAAGCAGAATCGGTGTACAATGCAGTCGTCAAATGGGGGCTTGCGGTATGATCTTAAATCTTGTATGTTCACCTCAGAATTCTGACTATTTTATCGTTTGTTTTCAGAATTATGTTTACATCTTTTGATACTACTGCATCAAACACCGGTAGAAAAAAAGGTGGGTGTCAGTACCTGGACAAATTGTTTAAGAGGCAGCTTATAGGCCTCCCTTGTAGACACCACATACATGAACTGCTACTTGGCAAAGCTTTTAAAATTCTGAAATTTGAAACGTCAAAGTCTCCAAATGTTGAGATTTTTAAGAAATTCCAATCAAAATGGCACATTTTGGAAAAGACTTCATACCACTCAGGTATGGATGATGATTTTTTTGAAAATAGCTATTTCGGAAATAGAAAGATTGGCGTTATTGGAGTTTTATGAAAAAAAAAATAATTAGAGAGCAACACCACCGTGGTGATTACCGAGAGGTTCTACAACTTGCCATTTTATATTTAAGTGGAAAAATCGATGAAAAAATACAAATAAGAGCTTCTGGTGCGTTCCATAATGCAAGATGCATGGCCAAAATGTTTATTATTCGGCATGAATTTCCCGAGTAGCACACTTTCATCACAATAAGTTACAGCAACTTGTTTATGACTGAAATAAGTCGTATACAAGTTTCTACAATTGATTTGTGACAAGCGTGCTACTAGGGTTGCTTTACCAGATAAAACTAAAAATCAACTAGCTCGATTTTGTGTGTTCATTGTAAAAATTTATTTGAAAAGTTGGTTTCTTTCTCCGTGTGATGCGATGGCACCCAACAACGATCTGACCCTGTTAAAAATATTGAAGGAATATTAAACTGTTGATGAAGACGTTGTGAAAACAGTACATAAAGGAATTTTAACTCACTTGGAATATTTGGACAACAGCCTTATCGGACTATGTCTGTTCGACGAAAATGTAGACCTCCCGGTTAAGAAAAAGGTCATCGAAGCCTTACTTCTATCAGGTAAATGCTTTAATTGATACATTTGCATTTAATTTTGTAATGATTTTTTTTTTACAGATACTCATAAAAACATTACAGCCAGATCCATTGTTGAATCCAACGATATTTCAACGATTGGCCTACACTCGTTTGTACAAGGCAGCAGTGGTATTGAAAACTTATTCAAAGCTCTCCAAATTCCGAAGTCGTTGCTGAATGTCGATATGGAGCAGTGAAGTAGTTCCATCGAGTTTAAAAATGCCAAAAGACGGGTTCAATGTTTGGAAGTAGTTAATGATAATGCAGAGCGTGGTATAGCATTGATTAAAACATACCATTCAAAACTATCAACGGATGAAGATCAAAAGCAGTGCATTTTACAATTAGTTGAAGATCATCGAAAAAATTATAAGAGTACCAGGAAATCTGATTTGGTGTAGCTAATAAGGAAATATATGGCAAAGTATAAAACAAGTATTTTTTCATCTTTTCAGGCGAATGTTCCTCTTGTGCAAAACTCATGATTCCCAAAAAAAAAAAGATTAACGCAATCCAAGATATTTTTACAATTGATTTTAGGAATTTCTGATGAAAAGTTGTGGTTTTTCATATATTTTTGAATTTTTGGACCACCCTAATGAAGAATAATTGGACCACCCTAGTGAATTATTCCGTATTAGATCCTAAATGGTGGTTTAATTCGATATATAAGCAGGTTGGAGACAATTGTGAACAGTTTTAGAAGCCGACTCATCAATCTTCTATATTCCATATAGAACTTATGAAAAAAAATTCTAAGTCCCAGAAAGTCGATTTAAGAAAAAAAGAATTTCAAAAAAACTCCTAATCTCGACGTTTTTGCATTTTTAAGACATTTGACATAAAAAATTTTTTTTTTTTTTGATTTACGAATTTTCATGAGGGAGATTTTCGAGAGTGAAAAAAGTCAAACTTTGACGCGTTTGCGCCACCCCTAAATCATGTCTGATTGAGCTCAAATTTTGCATAGGGTAATTTTTCGCGGCAATAAACATTTTGTATATGGTTTGTTAACGAAATTAAAAATTACCATTTTCGCTGGCAGTCTAGTGTATAGTTATGTTGGAGTATTCCACATTTTTGTAGATTTTATATATTAACCGGACCAGATTTCCCTGAAACTGACCTGGGAACGCTCCTCCCAGATAATAGCGTACCTTTACTGACTAGCGATCCAACGATGTTCCATGTCATTTTTTAAACACTTAAATATCAGGTTTGGAACCAGAATAGTAAATCAGATATCATTTATCTAGAATAGGAAAAAGTACTACCACAGCTTATGATTCTCTCCATATGTATCGGTAGATAAACTTGCAATTCCAACCTACCTAGTCCAATACACTCCGACACCGAACAACAGAGGCCATAACTCATTTGACCATAATTTTATAGATTTCCTATTACCGGCAGTATGCAACATTTACCGCCTCGGGCACACACACAAACACACATACATTCGGAATAAGTATCTGGCAATAAACCTCCCGGCCACCGGGTCCCGGACGATTGCGGCCGTTATTGGTGGCATAAAGTTTTGTTCCCTCACCTTCCGGTGAGGATGGCAGGAGTTCTTTGACCAGTTCCGACGATCAACCCAAAGAAAATAAAGCACGATTTATGTGCAAGGAAAGGTGAAACCCCAGCTATGGCCCTGTGTCACCGTACGTTTCCGTTGCCCTTCAACTGCTGCTGCAGCAATAGGTCGTGAAGATAATGAACACCATTTCCAAGGCAGTTGCAACCCATCCAACCGGCGAATGGCAAAAGTCAAAGAACTAGAGTCATAAATAAGCTTTATTTCTCATTCACACAAACACATAGCCCAACCTAAGCAAACGCAGAAGTTGGATTATTTACGATTTCTTGCCCGAAAAATTCCCACAACCCAGTAGTCCATGTTGCAAAATGACCCATCGGAAACAGCCGGCTGAGAAGCTCTCGGACGAGCAGATCGAGGAGCTACGGGATGCCTTCTCCCTGTTCGATAGAAACGGAACCGGCAGCATAACCAGTTCGGAGCTGAGAACGGTGCTGCGATCCCTCGGGAAAAGCGTTTCCGACGCGGAGGTGAAGGTGCTGCTCAAGGACCTCAACGTCGACCACGAGGGAAGGATTCAGTTTTCGAACTTTGTCGCGATGATGACGGTTCGGATGCGGCAGTTGACCAGGGAGGACGAACTGAAGGAAGCCTTTCGCATTTTCGATCGCAATGGAAATGGACTGATTTCGGCTGACGAGCTACGAGCGGCGCTGGAGTCGTTTGGAGAGAAGATGTCCGAGGAGGAACTCGATGAACTGCTCCGGGAGGCGGACATCAACTGTGACGGACAAATTGACTACGAAGAGTTTGTAAAGATGATCACCCAGAAATAAAGACAGGCCTGCGTAGGCAAAGTTTTCCAATTACCGGTTTAATTATTGGAATGTGTTTCCTGCGCGTGCGAGCGGGGAGTAGGACTCCGTGTGACACCAACTGTAGTTAAAAGAACAAAATACAATTTCTGCCATTTACAGCTACACCGGCTGACTGCATCCGGCTGTCGTTGTTCTAATTTTCTGGTAAAGTTCTAGCATCCCGAGGAAACTCAGTAGGATCAAACATTAATTAAATCGATAACTTGCCAGCTCGGCGTTGTTTGCTGTGTGACTTGGAAAGCACAATTCTTCCGCTGCTGCCGAGCAGAAACTGGGCAACAATTAATATTTATAACTTTTCAAGGTTTTCCACTCCGGGTTTCCAGTTGGGTGTGATTCTGTCTGCCGCTGTAGCGGTTCGGTGGTGTGTGAGTGTGCAGAGCAAAACAAGTCATAAATTCATTATAATTTCATGCCAAAGATGCTGCGCCAGCTTTCGACTACGACGATGATGAACTCGAACGGAGCTTTGTTCTAAAGAAGAGTAAGTTGAAATATGATGCTTCCGGATGATATTGTGAAATGGGACCGGGAGTGGGAAATTTGCTGTTTTATATTGGAAAAGTTTACTCCAACAAATGAGATCCATCAACTCGGAACGGTTTTCTGAAATGAATGATCAAATTTAATTTATATACTCACTGCCAAGTGGGGATAAATACTGCTGTCTGATCAGATCCATTGAGGCGTGATGAACTTACCTGCAAAATAAAAACAGTAAATTAAATCAATTAAAATTCTCGATTTTACGACTGATTAATAAAATGGTATGGTATGATGTGGCTGGCGGGAATCTGAAACATGTGGAGAAACATTGATCTGATAGAACTCCAACGAACGATTAAATGTTGCCAATTGATTCAATGTACAATCCGAACATATTTGCATGCAATGTTTGGTCGACAGATTAACACGAACTTGGAGCATGTATTTCGATGTTCAATCGATGCATATATATATATCGACTGATTCACTTTTTAACAATGAATAAAATCATCCAGCTAACAGCATCAGTTTCAGAACATATTAACTTATGTTGATTTGGATAAATGTGATATAGTTATTTTCGGTAATACAGTGCCTGCCTGTTTTTGGAGTAACACGATTTTTGACTTCTTTGCTATGCAGAAAATGCATCCAATGCTTTATTTCATTGCACAGAAAGTACTACGGTAATGACTCGCATCAGACTTTTATCTTTCAATAATTTCACATATCCGTAATTCATCTTCAACATGGATGTTTAGGGTTTACTTTGGTACAGTAAGATCGCTTGAAAAGCGCATGGATTTCGTAGAAGAAATGATTTTCAAAAAGGAGGCTGACAAAATCGGGTCATCACTGTATTACAAATTTGAGGCATCATTTATCCTGAATTCGCTTTTCGCGTGCGGAACACCTTTGAAGCATCGGTATTCCAGATACACTCTCGAATAAAGAGGATACCAGTGTAAAAGTTAATCATGGTGAGTGATCTGCTTGAGAGAAATATGAGTGTCGATACGACACGCAAACATTCCTAGTTCTTCGTAAGATGAGTACTCCTCTTCGTTCTTCGCATACTTTTATCTCCATGAAGATGCAAAGTGCTTGGTCATTATTCATCGCGGATGGGACATAATAATCCGCAGCGATGAACCTAGGAGACGTAAGGCGTCCACGTACCAAAATGCGGTATCAATCAATAGCTCCTCAAGGATGCATTATGGAAGTTTTTAGTCTTTAGAAAAGTTGATTGGAGTTGATCTGAGCCTTAATTTTGTGACATCATATTAGTAATAAATTCTGTCACTAGGGCAGCGCTGCTAATAACTTTTTAATAAAGCATTAATGGTGTCTTCGGCATGGCTTTAAAGAATACAATTTTAAGGAACTCTTCTGAATAAACTAGTTTTGCAAGTCCTACAGATTTCGAGATTATGAGCATTTCTATTTTTTTAAATTAAAATGACAATGGGTAATTTTTTACCGAATATCACCTATATGTTCTTTGACTATATGTTTTAGTATTACTTCTACGTGAAGTCAACGATTTACATAGTTGAAGATGCTAATTTCAAATAACAGACTGTAGTGGTAATTTTTATACGATAGATGGAGTAGATGAAAGCATAGAGTTGATAGTTCCGTTAGAGTACGGCAGTGTGAAGATTGCATATAGATATTAGAATAGCGAGCTAGAACAACTTTTAAGGAAGGTACAAATCGGTTTTTTCATCTCTCTTTACCAAACTCCCCCTTTGGAGAGGGATGGTGAGGGGTGTCCCCCACCCGCCACCACTGGAAAAAAGAGATGAAAACCGATCCGCTCAAGTACCAACTGTGTGTTTGAAACAGTTCTACCGATTTTTTACCGCACTACGGTTGTTATTTGAAGGAAAGCATCCAGTCGTAGGTTTGGAAATTGCGATTTCTGTGAGCTTCTAGTCAATACCAAAAGCAGTCGCATCTCTCTTCGATTGCGAAGCTTTGCTTTTCATTCTGTAGGTGGCTGTTCTCCTTCGTTCTTTGCTGAGGAAAAGAAGAAACGGATGAGATCTGAACCAGTAGGGTATATGGAGCATTAGACTGATGCACAATTTGAAATTTTCGCTGCACAGTGCTCAAACGGTTCCAAATTGGGCCCTAATTAGTCTCCCAAAATTTAAACTACTTTAGTGACTTGGCACAAACCATTTGAAGTTTATATGGGAATTACTATGGAGAAACCATAATTTCGGTTCATATCCATCTCAAAATTCACCAGTTCACTCTACTCAGAAAACGATAGCTGAGCTTGTTGAAAATTTTCTCAGTTACAACTTTGTTCAAGACCTCTTTTTGATCAAATGTAAGGAACAAACATTATTAATGATTCAAGTCATTGATGTCTTAAAGCTATGTCCATTTAGAATCCGGAATAGTAAAATCATCTGTATCTCGGTAACGGATTGACGTACAAATAAGGTCAATACATCAAAACAAAGGTAATTTACTGTATGTTGGAGATAGGAATAAGATTTTGTAAATATCAATCCAATTAGTTAAGTGTTGAATTACCATTCCAAATGATACGGACTGTTATGGAATTGCGAGCAGAGAGAGGGAGAGAATTTTGTATTACGATACCGACCGATAGATAGCCGATGGTCACTACCACAGTAGGAGCAAATTTATGTAAATAGTTCAGTTATAAAATACACGTTGAAGGAAACAGTACCTACGTCGTCTGTTTCTCTGGTCGGTCGATGACAAATGATTCGGTTTGGGCAGAATTCGTCTCGGTGCTAGTGATCTACTAGCGAAGAAAGTCCTTCTAGTGCGGCAAGACGTCTATCGTCAACATTGATCCTTAAGTACTAAGTTATTCATAAGATGATCTTCTCTTCATATGTTTGTTTAGCTATATCGTCTATATCGTCTCCCAGTTTGATGATAGTGAAGATGAAGAACATTACCACAGTGGTGGCTTACATTCGGACAACATCAGCATTGAAAGAATTAGGCAATACCTTTCGGACAAATTGGGTTTCTACACTACTGATAACTATGACGACAAGGATGGTGCTCCCAGGAAGAGGGTACTGGATACGGTGGACATAGACGGGGTCATCAAGCACTGGAAGAACGGTGGCTTCAAAAAGATTGTAGATAGATAGTGGAAGCTCACGGAACGTTCTTTACCAATCATTGTTTGCAGTGCAGAACAGAGTATTCTTTGGAGTTTGCTAAAGAAAAGCTTTTTCTGACGAAATACCGACCTGTTCATGCAACGGGGTTATCAAACCGGACATTGTATTCTTCGGAGAAGGCCTTCCGGAACGGTTCCACGTTCTACCGCATAAAGACTTCATCGACTGTGATCTGCTGATCATCATGGGCACATCCCTGACAGTACAGCCATTTGCATCGTTAGTCGAATATGTGAACGATGATTGCGTTCGGCTGCTGATAAACCGAGACAAGGTCGGTAACGGAGGATTTGGATTTTTACGTTCGATGATGTTTGGTGAAGGGCTGTGCTTCGATTTGCCCGGTAACCGAAGGGACGTCGCGTGGACCGGTGATTGCGATGATGGGTGCTTCTTTCTCGCTGACAAGTCAGGAATGGGGGATGAGCTGCGAGAAATGATCAAACGGGAACACGCCAAGTTGGACGCAGATCAACACAAGCATTTCCTTTTAATGGAATCGAACGTAGCTACGACGTCTTCTCCGCAGTAAATTCACGACAGTGAGGAAGCCATGATACACGAAGCTCATCCAGCTACAGACGCGTCTATACCAGACTTGGTTCCAGTGGATCTACATCATGACGAAATGAAGGATCATGTCGCGGGCAAACCGGAGGTGGCGAGTGAAGCCAAGAACGATTGAACGGGTACAAACGAATCGTTAACCAATCTTGTAAAGTGCAAGAGAAAACATTTTGTAAAAGGGAAAAGTATAAGGAAGATAAGTAATTTTAACCACTAAGTTACAAAATACACGTTGAAGGAAATAGTACCTACGTCGTCTGTTTCTCTGGTCGGTCGATGACAATTTTTTCTTGTGATCAGTGATTCGGTTTGGGCAGAATTCGTCTCGGTGCTAGTGATCTACTAGCGAAGAAAGTCCTTCTAGTGCGGCAAGACGTCTATCGTCAACACTGTACTTTATGGAAAAAATATCAATACAAATCATTTATCTTCGATTCTAATGAAAATTCGCACTTTCTTCTTTATTCCTCCCATCAAACGCTGCACACCTCCGGAGTCAACTTCCTTGGCACATTTGTTCCACATTTTGGTCATCTGAATCGCGTCCCGAGCCGGTTTTTCCACTTTTCTTAAGCTTCCGCTTCATTATTGCCCAAAATCTCTCGATGGGCCGGAACTGCGGGCAGTTGGGTGGATTTATGTTTTTATCGATGAAATCTACGTTATAATCGCGGTACCACTGGATGACTTCCCGGCTGTAGTGGCAACTCGCTAAATCTGGCCAAAACTTCACGGGACCTTTATGG